CGGGGCTCGAACTCAAAGACCGTGAGATCATGACCTGAGCTGAAGTCAGACACTTAACCGACGGAGCCACCAAGGCGCCCCTAAAGCAGAATTTCTAATTCATGCTAGCTGTTGTAAAAAGCTCTCAGGAAGGAAAGAAAAGGAGAGCAAAATTGCTAGCTAAAAGCAAGAAAGATGGTTTTATTTTGCTCAGGGATGCATAGCTGAGCCACTGGGTCACAGGACAGATGGGGGTGGAGGAACACATGGTTACGAGTCTTATTATGGAAAAGCTCGAACTACCATCAGCGCTTGATGGAAATGAGTGGGGGAGAGGTAGCAGCAGTGTCTCTAACAGCACTGCCTCCCTTATTACATTATCCAAAAAGATAGATAACTGAGAATAGGCATCCATTATCTCTCTCTACAAAGGGATTAGTGTGGGTTGCAAGAAATTAATGGCTTTTGAGTTATCACAGAAATACTAATGAATGTCAGGACCAGAGATGTAAAGCAGGTAAAATTGGCTTTTCTCTGCCTTATTTCTCTCCTTTTCTTTTTTGGTTTGCTATTTTAAGATCTGGATCTGTGTTGGGTTTATTTCTTTACTTTTTATTTTTTCCCTTCAGCCAAGATCAGAAATCATGCCCTTTGGGAGTGTGATTTGTCTTCTTCAGGGAATGACTTCGTTAGTTTATGACTGTCTGCAGTGTGTATCAGCAAGAGATTTAGAAACATCTCAGAAATGAAAATCTCTGTCAGGGAAGAGTGCTGCCTCTTGCATGGATGTCATTTGCATGCCTGATAAAAATATCAGGAAGTCTCCCAAGTCACAGTTGCCTTCTATTAAGGAACTAAACTTGTATACATTGCAGCTAATCGTTGATTAAAGATGGCACAACCAGATAAACTTGTGAAACAGGGGAAGAGAAAGGAATTATATCTACTATATGCTGGGCGTTGTGCTACAAGCTTTATTTCTCATTTAATAAGTACTTTCTAAGAGCCTGCTATGTAGTAGGCATTGTACTCTGTGTTGTAAAAAAGGATGAAAAGACAGACCTCTCCTCTTTCCTCAGTGGAGCTTATAGTCCAATGGGGAGGACAGACTTTTTTAAAAACTTCAAAATTGTATTTGTTCAAAAATTTAAATAAACTGTTATAATACAGCCTGACAAGAGTCCATCAAAGAGGAATAATAGGGATACCGGATACTGACCTGGGGTGTGTGTGTGTGTGTGTGTCTGTGTGTGTGCGCACGCGCGTGTGCAGATGAGGGGTTGAGGGAATTGGGACAGGGTCTGTTCCTGGAAGACAGGATGGCTAAGTGAAGGGTAAGTGTGTGGTAGCTAGTGGAAGCAGTAGGAAGGAGCACTGTAAGCAGGCGGTAACAGTGTAAGCGCAGTCAGGCTCAGAGGTGAGAGAGAACTGCTACCTAAGCAGAGACCTAAAACATGGGCTGGTTGAGTCCAGCCCGGGGAACTGGTTACAAGACAGAAGGCTCATGAACTGGCCTTGAAGACTAACGGGGGTATCTGAGAAACAGGAGTTGATGAGAAGCATACTTCATGCTCTGTCCTCTCCATGGGCGGTTCCTGGCTTTACTAAAACCCAAATAATGTGTATTAGCGAGGAGTTAGGTCAAGAGATAGGAGGAATATTCGTTCTCATGTATTTGGTTTTCTGTAGAATATTACCTAGAAAACATGAAATCCTGGTGAAGTGCCAATTATTTCATGGACCCGTGGGGGAGAGTCACAGTTTTCCACGCAGGCCTCCGCATGTCACACTGACATTGCAGACCGCCCCCCACCAATACTTAATCTTATGCTCATAATTCCACCCTAGGTAGGCTATTGTGGACCTGAGATTTCCCCCCAATTACATCTTGTGAATTGTACTGTCTTGGAATTGTACTACCTCTACTGTGTTTAGTTTGAACCAGAAGGATGTCATTCCCTGATCTCTGGTTTCTTACACCTGCCTTATCGTCTCCTTGAGTTCATTCGTATCAATGAATTAATACATGGCTTCTTTTGTTTTTCCTTTCTAGAACACAAGCAAGCATTCCCAAATATTCTGAAGAAGGGGTACCTGGAGATCAGGAAGGACCATGACAGTTACTGGCAGAGCTGTTACGCAGAACTCTCACCCTACAACTTATCCTTCTACAGCCTAGACAGCAGTGGCAATCAAGCCCTCTATGCCACCTGCCAGCTTTCACACTTCCAGAGCATTTCCGTGTTGGGCAACCTTGAGGCCAGGCTGGTGGATACTGTTCTGTATGACAACACTCAGCTCCAGTTAAAGGCAGAGTCACCGTGGGAGGCTTTGGACTGGGGGCAGAAGCTTTGGGAAGTCGTGCACGCCACGGTGCCTGGTTACGTGGGAAGGCAGGATGAGCTGGCAAACTCCCCAGGACTTGGTCATCACGCTGACTGTACACAGAACCATTGTTTACAGAAGAAATCCAGTGAGCTGCTCACGCCATCACCTGTCTTGGAGAGCCCCAAACAATACCAAAACATCATCAAATCAGGGACGCTGTACAGGCTAACCGTCCAAAACAACTGGAAGGCATTTACTTTTGTGCTGAGCAGGGCCTACCTTATGGCTTTCCATCCCGGCAAGCTAGACGAGGATCCCCTGCTAAGCTACAATGTGGACGTGTGTCTGGCTGTCCAGATGGACAACCTAGATGACTGTGACTCTTGCTTTCAAGTCATTTTCCCCCAAGATGTCCTCCGCCTCCGTGCAGAGACCCGGCAGAGGGCTGAGGAGTGGATGGAGGCTCTGAAAACAGCGGCCAATGTGGCGAGGAGTTCAGAGCAAAACCTGCAGGTCACCCTGAGGAGCAGACCCAAGGATCAGATGGGCAGGCATGAACTCAGGAAGAACAAGCGTCAGTCTGTGACCACCAGCTTCCTCAGCATTCTGACAACCTTGTCTCTGGAACGAGGACTCACTGCTCAGAGTTTCAAATGTGCAGGTATGAAGCAAATTTTTAGTCTAAAGCTCCCTAAAGAACAACCTGAATCCTGCAATTGGAATTCACTATAAAAGTCCCCTCGATGGGCTAGTCACATGTACCTCTTGTTTGAAAAGCATCTCTCCTTCAAGGAGTTTCCTACCGCAAAACGTCTGTCTATCTTCATGCCATGCTGGTGAAGTCGGTAGGAGATAGGCTATACGCCGCTGAGTCCAAATGACTTAGCCGAAGCATAACCAGACTAGAATCTAGGCTTCTTGCCTCTGCTGTGATTCCATTTCCTCTTTCTTTTTAAATAAAGGTCACTGGGAATGTGAATGTCACAAATTGTCTCACAAGAGATATTCAGACCCAAAAGCTGACTGCTGACACTTCTTACCGAAAAAACAAAACAAAACAAAAACAAAAAAAAACCCGTCTATAGCCAGTAACTGTCATTGATCATGACCTTGTCAAATCCTGTTAAGGAAGAATCTAAAGTCAGCCCTGACAGAAAATCTGGAGGTGACTAACAGCAGGGTAGATGATGATTCAGCAGATGACCTCTGAGTCATGATGGGCCTGTGCCTCATCCTGGGGAAGCCCAGGGCTTCTGAAACTGCTATGGAAGGGTGAGACACAAAGTAGAGTTGAAGGCCAATTCTCTGTTATTTCTTAAAACCCTATTACTGCTTCTCTCTCCTACTTCTCTCCTACTTCCCTTTCACTTTCCCCTGAACAGTAAACTAGACAGAATAAAATCTTCCCTAAACCAAATCTATGTATCTACTAGAAACTAAATCAAATTATTTCCCTTTCACTAAACCCCACAATTTGGGACAAGAAATTTTCCTTAAGGTAAATTTACCATGAAGGTAATCTAATTGGAAACCTGATTTGGAAGAATTTTAATTCAAGTGTGTCAGATTGAAGTATGTTATTTAAAAGTGAATGGGACACTCACCAGCAGCCAAGACCAAATTTTCAATTTTTGCTTGTCCCTGCATTGAAAGCCAAATAGTGGTGGCACAAGGAAAATTTGAATTTAGGTTAGTTGTGATGATTCCCTTTTCTGCTGAAAAATAATGTACCTAACGGGGGGTTTAAGTGAATCACCCCTGCTTTCTCTAGAGGGGCTCTGTAACTGTGGAGCAGAAACTCTCGGGGTTGGGTAGGAGAGACCAGAAACACTGAGCCGGTAAGGAAGCCGCACTAGGTGATGTGCATGTATCTGCAGGTGTGAATGTCCTTGTGTGAAGTCAGTCAGCTACTTTTGCAAAATGGTTTTGAAATAGGGGGCCACTGGCTTTACCATAGTTTGTAGAAATTACTGACATTTTAGTGTCTTATTAGTGCATGCGTTATATTTCAACATTCAGTCACTCAACAATAACTTATTGATGCTGATTCTGGGAACATTCTGAAATCATGATACACTTCTGTGGCTTTGGATTGCTGATAGGGTCAACAAATCTGTTGTGTTATTAGAATCAAGGAGAATAGCTGAGCCTAGTTCTCAAGGTAGAGACTGGAATCGCTGAGTTGGGAAACCTTCTAGTAAAAGGGGGAAGAAAAGTCTCAAGGGTTACACAGGGATTGTCACCTAGTTGACCCCTAGTCCACCTTTCTCTCATAAGTTTGCTTGCTGACGGAGGGTGCACTGCCCGCGTTCTGGACTTCATTAGCAGCGTTTCTAGCACTCAGAGGAAAGAGAAACACAGGTACAGGTAGCATGCAGCAGGTCCATCACATCTAGCAGTTGGAGAAATGAATATGGGAAGAAGACAAAAAAGGGTGAGTAGAAGAGGCAGGGAGAAGGAAACTAAGTAGAAAAGAACAGGGGAAGGATTACCGAACGGTCAGGGACAGAACTTTTTGGCAGCTGCTTTACTTAGGTTCTGTGTTTTAAGATGTCTCCCTGTGCTGTCTAAATGTCCTCACTGTTTGGCCTGGTTGGAGAACAGGTTGAGGATGGGTGGTAATAGGGAATCCAGGAGGCAAGAGAAATGTAATCTGAATCTCATTTGCCCTGCTTAGCTCTTACCTTCATGCTTTGGTTGGGAGTTCTAATAAGGCACGGTGGGGGGCGGGGGGGGGGCGGTTCTAATTTGGGGTGGAGAGAAGTCAATCCTAATTTGTGCAGTATGGCCGATTCCCAAGTAGCAATTTTTATTTCCTTTCAGTGCCCCTTCAATCGGAAAATGCTACGTTCAGTTGCTTTGTGGTACACATGGTTTACCAGCTTGCTTTTCATTTTCCCTAATTCCAATATGCAATACTGGTTTCCTACCCCAGGTAGGAATACTCCATCTCCTGTAGGGGGCAGAGTCTCAAAAGAAAAAGGCTAAAACTCGTTAAGCAAACCTCTGAATGTTTTTTAAATTTCTTGGGAGGCTGTTCATTATATTAAAGATTATTATATCAGATGGAACTTTAAAAATCGATCTGTTTCTCACAAACACAATTAATCTAAACCAGCCGTCTATTCATTTAGTACTTGTGTCCCCTAATGTTTCATCCTTGTAAAGATATGCATTCGGTGAAAAAGCTGGTTGCATAGTATGTGTATCTTCTAAAATGGCAAAATGTCCATTAAGTTGTTTTTAGTTGAACTTGGCATTATCTATTATTTTAAGGAGAAGCTAATTCAGAATATTGCATGGTTCTAATGACTCTCTTTAGAATATAAGTTTTTATGTCCACTTAGTCCCTACCCCCTTAAATATTTTTTTGAGGATTTATTTATTATTCCCCGTTAAATACTTTTGATGAAAAAACTTTACAAGGGGACAGTTGCACGGAGTAGCTCTTTATTGTGATGTCATTCGGTTGCAATCCAGGCGAGCTACAAATGTTGGCTTTAAATCTACAGATTAGTGCAGTTGGCCTTATTTCATTAAATTCTTTCTGTAGGTGAAGAATTTTTGATATCCTTTTTGGAAACTTAAAGAGCCCCTGCAGAGAAAATGGACCATGACCATCCCCAAATGCCTGAGGTTATGGTTTTGAAAATACATGCTTATGTGTATAACTTTGTATCTCTTAACATGTGCTTGAACTTTTTATAGTTGTATTTGATTATGTGTGGTTTGTTCCATGGCTTCCTCTCAGCTCCACGGCTGCCTCATTCTAGGAAGCCCCAGTCACGGTGGTCGTCATGTTGTTCTGGAACCTACCTTGGTCATTCTTGCCTTCAGGGCCTTTGCACTTGCATTTTTTTCTTCCCCAAAACATGCCTTTGAAAATGAAGCTCTTTCATTCATCCTACCACTTACCGTGTGCCAAGTTTCTTCCCATGTGCCAAAAACTCAGGTGCACATGGAGGAGTCTTTGCTCTAAGAAAGCGGCTGTGCTCCTTGCCCTCGTGGAACTTGCAGTCCGCCAGGGGAGGCGGACGTTAATCCGAGAATTACCTCATGAAGGGCACACGGCAGCTGTGACGAGAGCTAGAGAAGTGAGGCCCACACACTGGATCAGAGAAAGCCAGGGGTGGTCTCAGGTAGAACTATATGAAATTGCAGCTCTCCAGTCATTTTTGACCCACAAAAGGAGTTTGATAGGGTTGAACTTAATACTTGACCCTGAAGTCCCAGAAGGTTCCTGAGCAGAGAAGCATACGGTGAAAGTGGGATTTCAGAACATTTCATTTGGTGCTGCTTTAGTACAACTTTTCAGAAACACCTCTGTGGAAGAAAATGAGGTGCGATTCTTCAGCGAAGAATCTGGTTGGGATTCGGAGTTTGGTTTGGCAATGAGGTGTCTGTGGTATTAAAATATTAATGCTAAAACAAATGATTATGCGGCTTATTAAAATATTTATGAAGTATGTAGCTATAAGTGGTTCTAAATTAGGTTGTTCACAAAATGCTGTATAAATCCGATCATAAGGCAGCAGTCCTGTTTTCTTCAGGAATTAGACATGGGCACATACCTGTTTCCCCTCAGAAGATATGTGGAGTACATACAGCTATTTTTCCTGTAATTTCCCAGCAGTCAGGAAACCTACCAACTGAGCACTGTAAGAAAAGGGCCCAGGGCCTTGTGTTGGGTGCCGCTGCCACTAAACCCTTCCTTCTGTCCCTGCTTTATAATCTGGGAGTGATATCAGATGGCCACCGTGGGACAGTGTTCCTGATTCTGAACGGAAGCTGAAAAATGTTAACAGAAGACACAGCAAGAAAAACAGTGAGCCGAGGGGATCCCCTCCACCCTTTCCACACTGTCAGTTTTATGGTTTTACTCCTTCGGCTGCTGTTTAACCTCTTGGGACTGCTGTTGGTAATTACATCTCTCTGGCATTAAGAGCTTTTGCTTTCCTTTTTTTACCCCCAGCCCTTGGGAGGAGTAAGCCCAAGGGGGGGAAAAGTTTTGCTGTGAATTCTTCAGCCATTTAGTGCAAATTCCTGTAATTACCGGCATTGTGTCCTCTCTGAATGGCACATAATACAGCAGAAGCCATTCCTAATTGAGACCTTACAGGAGGTACAAATCCTCTCTTTGTTCAGCCTGACAAATTAGTGCCAGAAAGTGGCAGGGTCCGAGTGGGAATCAAAGGCAAGAAACACAAAGATGGAACTTAAGGCTACAGTAATAACCCTCTCTTGTCCTGAAGGGAAAAAAGGAATGACCAAGGAAAAAATGAAGTTTTTTTTTGTTTTTTTTTTTGTTGTTTTTTTTTTTTTTTTTTTTTTTTTTTTTGTTATAAATTCCCTTGACATGACAGCATCTCGGGGCTGCTCTATTTATTTAGCAAAAGTGATTAAATAGTAATACAACAGGGCCGCCCATTGTTTCCCTGGGTGCCCCTACCTCACAGACCCCTGCTGCCTCGGCTAATTGATTGACAATGAACCTCTGATAAAGAAGTATGTTGTTAGGACCTAGGTGGGGGGAGCACTTTTTCTCTCTCTTTGTGTGTCTGAGCGAGTGTGTGTGTGTGTGTGTGTGTGTGTGTGTGTGTGTGTGTGTGATTTCATTTTTGTTTGAATTGCACTCTAGTTTTTCTTTGCCCCCACCCCTTC